ATAAATAACTATTTTGACAATATCAAAATAGTTATTTATAATAGCTCCTGAACAGCATGGTTCCTCCATCAAATCTATGGAATTACAATTACTTATAACCTTGGTAATAAACAAGTAATAACAAAGTGAGGATATAAATATCCTGAGAGGATAAAAATTCAACAAAGTCTGGAACATTTTTGCTGTATTGTGATAATGCAAAAGGATAAATCATTTTTCCATGTTTTGTCTACATATCAGATTCAATGCAGACAATTTTGATAAAAAATAGACCAAAAAGAGCCCGTTAAAAGCACTTAAATTTTTCATTGTTTCTAAAAATAACTCCCAGAATACAAATTATAATTGGACATAATTTGTCATCACATATAAATACATATGTATTGTCTTTGCGCATAAAAAAATATTAAATTTATTGCATTTGTTTTGAATTCCATTCATTTGACGCAGCCATTGAATGTTGTATGAACCCTGTATCTCTAGCTTTTTAAACTACCGCTCTAACTACTGAGCAACAGTTTTAAATTGGTTGTTGTTAATATGCAAACAGCTATAAAGATAAAAGACAAGGAAAAAAAATGGCTGCTATAAAAAAGCTCAAAGTATCTCATTTTAAACAACAAGTTTTGTTTTTATATAGTTTTGTAGATAATACTAATTTTTAGTCATTTATGAACTTATTAAATTTTTTCAAGTTATAGCTTTTTAATATCCTTTAATTTAATATCCATATATCTGAAAATATCTTAAGTATGAAATTAGTAATCGATAGTTATAGAGTGTCTTTAGGTAGCCAAGGGCGTCACCAGTATAGAGGTGACTTTTACCCACCACAAAAATAGAGGTGACTTTAAGGCACTTTTAAAATTAAATAAAAGGATTGCAACAGCAATTTTTTTTTTTACTGATTATTTCTTTAACACCATGTACATTTAATATAGTTTATATCAACGTATTAGTCAATATACTTACTCAGAGGCCTACCCTAAATTAAGGGGGCGAATCCTTACAAAGTAGCGACTGGTTCCTTAATATATATATAAAAATAAGGTCCTCAAAACAAAAGTTATCCGACTGAATTTTGTCAAATACCTGACTAGCCAACTAAATTCGTCCGAAAACCGATTATAACTTTAAAATCACCTTCAAGAGCCCTACTAAAAGTCAAATAGAGATACTTTGTAAAGTTTTGTAGTTTAGGTTATTTTTTGAGGCTCCTTGATGTAAAACAAGTATTGTCCCATTCCTAAATATTTTCTAGTGTGTCAAACGAGCATTTGATGTTTTTATCATTGGTTTCTCATAAGCACTGATTTCATTGAAGTTTGTAATTTGCCCAGAAAAAAGTTACCTTGTCTCAAATTTTTTAAGCTTAATTTGTTAATCTTATTCTTTTTGTTGACAAGATCATTTTTAATGCTACTCAATGATTTTGAGCTAGTACTCTGATCATGTGTCTCTTCGTCAGATTGAACTTTTGACTTTATGCTCATCATGTTTTTGTTCTGTTTTTTTTTTCTTTGCAAGCTTTGAGCAAAACTCTTATCAAACTTTTCTAAATTTTCTGTGCTACTTTGCCCTGCAGAAACAGAAAACTTTTTGTTTTCGTTTTTTAGTTATTGAAGGTTGCAAAGATTTATATTTTCTTGTAAAATAATCTTAAAGCTGTCTTCTAAAATGTCTTTATCGTACGACTTTCTCTCTTTAAATTGTGTGAGAAGTTGATTGACATTTACTGGATGAATACCACATTTCACATTGCTTTTCAAACATTAAAAATATATGTAATAACTTTGCTTATATTTACAATTTACTTCAACTTTAAAAAATTATTGTTTTTAGACAATTGTGGTTATTTTGCACATTGTACAAAGTTATCCCAATATGTCCAAAATAGTAATTTATTTACAAAATTGGTAATTTTTATTCATCTTTACTGACCGTCGCATTAAAACATAAAATAATTCAAACTAATATTATGATGAGGATGTTATGCCATTTACTCAACTTAGGGTCTAATTTTGATCTGCTTAACAGATAAAAGTTGCAAGAAATTATTTGCGTGGCATTTTTTCTATGTTTAAGTAAAATTACTTGTGTACAAAGAAATCTCCTTAAAATGACTATTTTACACTAATTTCTCATTAAAACTAGAATATACAGCTGACTTCAAAAGTATTATGCAGTTCTCATTCAAGTTTTTAACTGCTAGAGAGTAAAATATCTTTGAGTTACTTACAGTTGTGCAAATTTACCTAAAGTTACTTTAAAATGAGGGGACTTTTAATTCATTTTTCATTCAAAATATAATTATGAATGGTAAGCATATTGAGTAAATTATATTAAATGTGCATGATGTCAAAATGTAATTTAGAGTACTTATACGTATGTATATATATATATATATATATATATATATATATATATATATATATATATATATATATATATATATATATATATATATATATATATATATATATATATATATATATATATATATATATATATATATATGTATATATATATACATATATATATATATATATATATATATATATATATATATATATATATATATATATATATATATATATAGGTAGGTTGTACACCTTACGCTCAATTAGTTGGTGCTGTGGGACTGTAAAATGAACTTCGTCATATATATATATATATATATATATATATATATATATATATATATATATATATATATATATATATATATATATAGGTAGGTTGTACACCTTACGCTCAATTAGTTGGTGCTGTGGGACTGTAAAATGAACTTCGTCATATATATATATATATATATATATATATATATATATATATATATATATATATATATATATATATATATATATATATATATATATATATATATATATATATATATATATATATATGACGAAGTTCATTTTACAGTATATATATATATATATATATATATATATATATATATATATATATATATATATATATATATATATATATATATATATATATATATATACTCGAACAGGATTAAGGTTCCTGAATCAGTTTTTCACAAAATAGTTCGTAATGGGGAGAAAATAAACAGAGATAGGCTTGTTTGGAGTGCAACTTCAAGCTCATAACCTTAACCTAGCTGGTGTTCATTTCCTTTAATCTTTTGTAGAAATGAAGAACTATTTTGGCCGTATTTAGTTACTCTACAATCTTTTTAGTGGAAGCCTTATACGATGGAAAATCTTGACCGAGACGACTGGTTTGTCTCTTCATCAAACTTCACAAACCCGATGGAATGCACGCATTGAGACTGTGAAGCCGTTGGTTACGCAACCCAGAGAAATCCTTCTTTCATTGCAGAAACTTTGTGATCTTGATTTAACTGCTGATCTATTGATTGACGTAAAATCTTTGAAGAAATGGATTCAGTCATTTGAGTTTATTATCATGACAACCTTCTGGTTCAAAGCGCATCAAGCAATAAAATATGTCAGCGTGTCATTTTAATCAGAAAACATCACTTTAGACGATGAGATGAAGCTTATGAGGATTCTTATTGAGGATTTTACTAGACTTAGATCTTCTTGGCCCGAACTAATTGATGAAGCATATTTGGTTGCCTCCGGTCTAGCTAGTTATGGATTTCAGTCAAAACTAGTTTAAAAAAGGACAAGGAAGAGGAAAACTTTTTACGAAGAAGCAAGGAACGAAGTTTATTTCTTAGAAAACGATGAAAAGCAGTTTGAGGTGAATGTATTTAACACCACTCTCGATACTTTAAGTCAACAAATAAAAGACAGATTTCAAGCTGCAGAAAAGATGACAGTTTTTCTTTGCTATGGCTCTCAGAATCTAATAGTAGGTCGAGTGAGGAAAAAGAAATTGAACAACCTAGCCTGGAGTAAAACTTTGGCGCAAGTGTATGTGAACAATGTAAATGAAGATAAACTTACTTTAGAGGTCCGTCATCTAGATACTCTGAAGCGTGCCAATCTTTTCAGTCCAAAAGAATATCTTGCTTTAATGAAGCTACTAAATGGAATCTGTCAAAAAGGTCTAGAGTCTATCTTCGAATCAACATGCATTTTATTACGTATTTTTAACATGATTCCCGTTTCCATCGCCGATGAAGAGCGGCTTTCAGCAAGCTTGGTCTAGTCAAGACAACACTAAGATCTACAATGAGTCAATACTGGCTTACCAATCTCTTAGTTATATCTATTGAGCACGATCTAGCAAAAAGTCTGTGCTACGACGAGGTCATTGCAAATTTTTCTTTAAATAAAGCCCGGAGAGTCAAATTCTCATGAAGCATTTAAAATATCTATTACATTTAAAATTTACAGTTACTCGCAATTTAATAAAGTTCAGTAACTTGTCAACTTGTGCTTCTTTTTTTACCTTTATTTCAAATTTATTTAAAAAATAAATAAAAGCCTCCTTGACTGTAATTACCTCCCGGCCCCTGAAAGTGAATAAAAAATAAAATAAAAACTTAACATTTGGATAGTACTTAAACTTTTTTCGATTAGGTCAAAATGATAGCACGCTAGATAAATTTTGACCCCAGGCGTCATAAAGGGACGCGGCGGGCCTGCATAGAGATATACCCCCTAGAATCATCGAAACGCGCTGACTATTCTTTTTTTACAAAACTGAGTATTTATTTTCAAATAAAGTTTTTAAAAAGTAATTAATATTTTTTTATAATCTTCTTTGTTGAAAATTAGAGAATTAGCGCTAATTACAAAGAGTTTAAATCATTGATTTATTATACTGTTGCTTCAGATTTTTAAAGATTTACAATATAAATAAGATCATCTAAAACGAATGAAATATTTATTTATATATTTTATAATATAAAATAAGTTATCAGTTGTATTTCATTTTTGTGATAAAATATTTTTGTTTTAGTTTGTTTGGCATCTGCAATAAACATTTTTGTTTACTGAGTTTAATTTTAAAACTGGTGATGTTAGGCATGTTTTATGTAGTTATTGTTAAAAAAGACTCCTTTTTTTTCATAATGAAAATGATCGCTTTTTTAATTTTAGCTTTTTTAACATTTTCGTGCAACTGCTCTTCTTTAGAACGGAATTTGACAAAACATGATTTGTTTAAAAAATTAGATGATGATCGGACTCTTGCACAAGAATTAATAAACTATGTTTACATGAAATATCCATATTATTTAAAAGATTTTATGGAATTTGACGTTAATAAAATTAAAGGTATTTCGGAAGCAAAAGCCCTTCAGACAACTGCATTAGAAGTTAAACGAAAGAAAAGTAACTACACAAGCTACGAACTGCTGCTTACTGAAATAAACAACGACAGACCAAAAAATGTGGAAACAGAACACAAAACTAGTCTGTTCTTATGCTCAAGAGGTTGGAACTTTAAAGTTTTACTATTTATTATTACTCTTAATTGCAAAAGCTTATGTTTATTTTTTAGGGCTAGCAATAAAAAGAGAACTTTTGCTACTAATATTTTATTATTGTTGCCGTGGTGGTTGAAAAAACCATAAATCTGATTAAATGTTCTTTCGCAGTGCTCTTTGATAAGACCGTTAGGACTTCTTGGAGTACTTAACAAAAAAAATTAAATAAAAATTATACAGTAAAACACTTTTTTACTGTTTTAGAAAACTTTTTGAAACTTCTGCATTAAAGATTTAATTTTAAGAATTTAAATTTCATTTAATATTCTTTATAAATATATATGAAGACTAAAAACAATGAGTAGTTGTGCTTCATTTAAGTGAACCAAGCATTTATTTATACTACATTTCAGTTAAAACCATACAAGCATTTATCAATTCTTGAAACATTTGTTTAATAAATTTGTTTTGCTAATTTTTTTTAGCAGCCGGTAGTATGTTTTTTGAAGTACGTGTGCCTTTACTTATCACTTTGTTAGATGTCATTTGCAGGTGATATCTTTTATACAAAAACAAAATTTACAAAATTATTTTTTAAAAACATTTTTATGACCAAAAAATTCTTTTTTCACAATTATTAATCTAATATTAAAAGCTTTCTGACCAGCTTGTTCTAGAGCCTAATATAAATTAAAAGCGAATGCTTCAAAACATTACCACTAGTAAACGACCGGGGCTGGTTTTTGACCGTGGCCAAGGCCAGTTCTACGGACGGAATTGCGTAAATGTTGGTGCATAATGATTTTTTTTTATATATCATATCAGTATGCATTAATATCTATACAGCCTTAGCCACAAACCATACTTTAACTCAAGTAAAACACCACTCCCGGTCGTTTACTAAGTACAGCATGTTATCCCATTTTTTGTTTGAAAATATTTTTTAAACAGACAGCGTTTATTGGCATGCATTTAACACATATCATGTTATTAAAAATTAAGTTAAAGATATCTTCAATAATAAGGTTATGATTACCAGCAAAATCGAAGTGATTGTTTGTTGTTTACCATGTATTTAATTCTTTTGTTATATGCTTGTTGTTCTCTTTCGTAGATGACTTTACCATAAAATAGTTTTTTTTTTGTATATACAGTGCCGTAGCTAGGATACCCCACACAGTCCTATGGGGGCCCATTTGCAATGTAATATAAGGAGCTTTCTGGGGCCCTTATGACAGGTTTTGGGGAGGGGGTCTCGGACCCAGTAGCCACGGCATTGGGTATACACATTTTGTATATATATATATATATATATATATATATATATATATATATATATATATATATATATATATATATTGTTGTTATTTAACTTTGATGCAATAAATAAAAACAAAAGCTTATAAAATATACCTAAATACTTTTAATAAAATGAAGGTTTTCCTTTAAACACGAAGCAAAAAACAAGAAGTGTTATTTCTTACTAAAACTATTTAAAAACTAGTTATGCTAGCCATGAGACTAAAAATAATTATTTACATCAAATTAGTTCCAAATAATTAATTCAGTGTAACCAAAGAATAATTCCCCTTGGTAACTATTGCTATATCAAATTTAAATAACTCAAATACTTCAAAAGTGTATGATTTAGAACTTAAATAAACATTTTTTGAATTCTTTGTAAAATTTCTGTCAATGCTCCACTAAAATCAAAAAATAGAAAAAAAATAACTTTCTTCACTTATTTAATGGCAGGGAAGTACCTTTTATATTTTTAACTTTAAAAAATTAGTTTCTACTTTAATAGCGCGTAGTATAAAAAAAATATAATTTAGACACATGGCATGGTATGTGCATATGCATGATTTAATTAAAAATGTTTAACTAAAAAAAAAATTAATAATAAAACAATTAAGAGTTATAATTTAATTTGTTGTTGTTGTTGTTATTGTTGTTATTGTTGTTGTTGTTGTTGTTGTTGTTGTTGTTGTTGTTTTGTTTTTCTTCTTCAATGCAAGATATATTTTGTTATTTTGTATAAAAAAGCACTTGCAATAAAAGCCACCTATCTTATTTTTTAGTCACAATCACATATCTAATTTTTTAGACACAATCACACATCTAATTTTTTAGACATATTCACACATCTAATTCTTTAGACAGGCATTTTTTAGACAGTTGCTGTTGTTGTTTTTGTTGTTATTTTTGTTGTTGACTTTGGTTATGCTTGTTATATGCTGCTCAAAGTTCGTCAAAGTTAAGCTTACGTTGTTTTTAGGCTTGATTTTCAAGTTAAAAACTATTTTTTTCATTACATTATTTTTGCAATTTAATTTTCTTTTATACAGTGGGGTGCAGAACTATAATCTCGCCTGTATTGAAACTTTAAAACTATCTTTCTGATTAAATTTTATTTGTAGATCATTTTTTGAAATAAAGAAAATAATTTACATAAATCTATTTATATTTTAATTAATTCAAATTATAAAACGTTATGCACAATTATAACTTTGTTATCTAATTTGCATCAAAAACCATCAAAAAATAGTAGTAAATTCCGTTTTCAAATTAAATATATTACATTTTAAAATTATAAAATATATTCTAACAAATTCCAAGAGAAATTATTCTCTCCAATGAAGAAAAAGGCGAGATCGAAGCGGTAGAAGACCTATATTTACAGCTCGCCAGCAGCGACAAATTGTACATGCCGCTAGTAACCGTACAATCTCCGCAAGACAAATAGGCGCTGATTTGCAATTAAAATGCTCCCAATGGACGGTGAATCGTGCAATTAACAAATCATTCATTCTTAGATATGTAAAAAACGCACATATCGAGCACTGGCTGAAGCGTACAAACGCATTTGTCTTCAATAGGTCAAGGACCACATGAATTGAAAAAAGAATGGCAAAAAATTGTGTAATCCGATAGAAAAAAATTCAACCTTGATGGTCCAGATGACTTCAATTACTACTGGCGTGACATTAGAATAGAGAAAACATTTTCAAAAAGAAGGGCTATGAGAGGCGGAGGAGTATTGATTTGGGGTGCGTTTGGTTATTTTGGAAAAACCTCGATTGGCTTTATTACTATTTAGTTAAATGCTGAAGGATATAGAAATTTGTTTACAAAATTTTTTGGTAACACTAGATTAATTATCCTGCAAGATAGTGCTCCAATTCATAGAGCAAAGTCAAATATCTTATGGTTTACCAGCAAGAAAATTGAGTTATTAGAATGGCCAGCGCTCTCACCTCATTTAAATCCCATCAAAAACCTATGAGGCATTTTAGCAATACGTGTTTATGCAGAAGGAAATAATATTCGAATGTCGATGAATTGAAAAACGCAATTGAACATGTTTGGAAAATCAAAGCTCTTGCAGATCTTAGAAATCATTTGGAAAATATGCCAAATTGCATATCTGAAGTTATTCAGAACTGCGACAATAAAAAAAAGTATTAATAATAAATTCAAATTGCAATACAAAACATTATGGAATTTTGTAGAGTGAAATTGAAATGAGGTTATAACTTTGCCAATCATTTTTTATAAATTTTCAAAACGGTTAATGAAATGAAATCAGACTTATTACAAATGAAATGTTTATTCAGTAAGATATTCAGCAATTGAATAACTTAAAAATAGTTTAATTAATTGTGAGATCTTAAATTTTTGGTAAGGTTATAAATTTGCACCGCACTGTATCTAATTTTTTTCAAAAAAAAAAAGTTTTGATACAACTAAAAACTAATTCTTTAACTAAAAAATAATTCTTTAAAATTTTATATCGTTTTATTCAAATAAAAGTTCTCTAGAATATGATCAAAAATGTTTGCAAAAAGTTTATTTAATAATTTTTTATTTGTATCCCTCAATTTTATTTTATCCCCTGTTTTATTCTAAACGATCGAATTTCGAATTTTTTATTATACAAATTATGAATTCAGCTTTAAGTCTAAGTAATACAAATACTATTTAGAATTCTTTTATAATACGCTAATTACGTAGAGTTATAAAAACAATTATGTATTGTAGCAATTCGATACGGAAATAACAATCCTCGTTACATCGAATACCGAGAAGGTGAACCAGAATCAAATATAATAATTCTTTCTTCGCACGACGGACACTTACGTCCCAAATATATGCCAGACCGCGATGCTGGATGTTGGATAGACAATAAGTGCGTATACAATCACAACTGCGAAAAGAAAAAAAAATATACTAAAAATTTTGAAAAATGTGGTATGAAAGATTTTAACGATAATTTTTCCACCGACATTATTGACGCTTTAGAAAAACATATTGAAAATGTTACTGGATATCGCCCTCATGTTGTAGTTAATCATTTACACCGCTCTAAACTAGATGTTAACAGAGAAATTGATGCTGCTGCATTTGGAGTTCCCGATGCAGAACAAGCTTGGAAGGACTTTCATAACTTTGTCAGAAGAGCAAAAAAAAGTTTAAATGGAAGAAGAGGAATTATCTTTGATTTACATGGTAATGATGTTTCAGATGGGTTTATCATGCTTGGATACGGTTTACAACGTTCTGAAATGGAAGATGAAAATTTTTCTGCAAATACATCATCAATTCAGAATTTAGCTGAAAACGTTAAAGTACCATTTGAACAGTTAGTAAGAGGTGAGCTAAGTTTAGGATTTTACTTGTCAGAAAAAGGTTACTTAGTTATCCCTTCGCCTAAAATACGTCGTCCTCGTGGAAGACACTACTATCGTGGAAGCTATTCTATATTAGAGCATGGTTCAAACAAAAATATTAATGGCGGCAATATAGATGCAATTCAAATTGAAGTTCATTCAAAATATAGAAACGACTACGATTATGAAAAATTTGCAGAAGATTTAGCATTTGCTATCAAAACATTTTACGATAACAACTATAAACTTCATATGGAAGAAATTGTTAAAGATTCTCACTAATTTTTTAATATATACATACATATATATATATATATAAATGTATATATATATATATATATATATATATATATATATATATATATATATATATATATATATATATATATATATATATATATATATATATATATATATATATATATATATATATAAGGCCAGCGCGATAGGGGGTGCGGGCGGGGGTGACACCCCCATCATTTTTAGTCGGCAAACTGGACCCTTTTAGACTAGTTAGTCACCAAATGTCGACCCTTTCGATATAGGTTAGTCGGTAATCTAGACAGTCGGCAAATATCGTCATGGCAGTCGGCAAATTTTGGAAAACGATGACCTTTTTTTTTTTTAAGTCGGCAAAAGTTGTAATAGCACCCCCCGCGTGACACCTACTCGCGCCGGCCCTGTTTATATATATATATAGTTACATTGTTATTAGAAATTTAGCTATATGTAATTATATGTATTCATAGCAGAAAATTGAGGCTTTAGACTTCTATCAATGTTTATATAATTACATACATTTAGTGTAATTTTGCAAACGTACTCTGTTAAAAATATATTATTATTTATTTATTTTAGTATTCTTTTTCAAAATGTAAACCTGAGTCATCAATATCCAAGGTAAAACATTTGCCAAACGAAAAAATTAAAGTTCAGTTTTTCAAAATTTATTGTTTTTTGTTCTTAAATTGGGTGGCAGGAATAATATCCGGAAATGAACTTCAGAATAGTGTCGAATATATTTAAAAAGGCCTAATGTCGCAAGAAAAAGATATAGGATCTCAATTGAATTTAATGAATAGTGTCAAAAACAAAAAAAATGAATAGTGTCGCAAAAGAATTTAGTTAATAGTGTCAAAAACAAAACAAAAAATGAAATAAAGTTGCAAATGAATTTAATGTATAGTGTTGAAGAAAAAAAAGGAATAGTGTTGCAAATAGTAAAAACGAAATAGTGTTGCAAATAGTTAATTTCAGCAATTGCTTACTCGTTTTGCTTATCTTTATATATACGGCTTTTACAGAAAGAAAAAAAAAACAAAGAATAATGAAAGAAAAGATTGCTACGAAACCCCAAACCCTCAGTCGATGTAGGAGCATTCCTTCGCTGCAACAGGCTATAAGATAGTTGGTGTATGTAATAAAGTCCCCGGCAGCAGACTGTTTCAGTATCACATCAACCATGTTCTCTAAACGCACATTTATAGTTATTATTATTTTTTAATTTTTGTTACTATTTGTTAAACTCATCTATTTTCGACACTATTCATTAAATTCATTTGCGACATTTCTTTTTTTTATTTTCGACACTATCCAATAAGTTCGTTTGCGACATTATTCCTTATTCTGTTATTCGAAAATTAATAATGCGACAATTTGCAACACTATTCCTTTTTACATTTTCGGCAATCAAGTTTGCGACAATAAAAATTTGTGACAATAAAAATTTTGCGACACTATTCCGCCACACCCTTTAAATCATTAACGCGATGTAGAGGAGAGTAGGGCAATGGTCAATTCAGAACATTGAGTAAGGAGGGAGGGGGGCAATTTTTATGATTTTCTGATTCGATGGGTTCAGACCATCCCGGTAGGAAGTGGACAATTTTTTGATTTGGTAAATCCAGAATAAAGTAGGGAGGGGGGAGAATTTTTAGGTTTAAATTATTAAACTTTTTGAGTTAGTTTTTTTAGTATTAGCCGTACACTGTTTTACTCTATGTAACTATGAAACTACGTCATACTGATATTCCAACAATCCAATTTTTTTTTTTTTTTGCACCACACAAATTTATTGAAATTTCTTATCAATTTTAAACAGCCTCCCAAATTTACTTCGGTTTTCAAACAGTATTTTTTGTTAAATATATAAATTTGTAAAAAACTATTTTCAAAATATCTAAGGCGGGTGATTGTCCCCCTCATATGAATCGTCCTTTGCTCTCATTGCTTCCCCTCCCTATGAATCCTCCCTTGGAGTGGGGCACCGAGATACATGGGACACAATGAAACATTCTAATTGTGGACGCATCTTTAGCGTTATGACAGCCATTTTCATATCGTGAAACAGTTACTACTAGAGTTTTGACAAAAAAAATTATATTATATCATTAGGCCTGCGAGGGGTTAAAATTTGTATATATTTTTTATTTGATGACAAAGTTATTTATTAATTTTTAAATTGCTAAGTTTTAAGGTATGTATTTAAATTGGTCTGTTGTTTTACGGTATGTATTTAAATGTGTCTATTGGTAAGTAACATTATTTTGTAAACAACAATTCATAGGCTTTTTACTTCTTAAAACAAAACTAATGAAAAAATAAGACGATACTAAAAATATTGCAATTTTTTTCTATTAGCAAATATGAGGTAACTTGATACAGCAATTATATAGGGTCCTAAAACTGTAGAACAAGACTCCATTGTGTCAAAAACAATTTTAAAAATCATTTGTATTAATTTTACTGTCAATTTTTGATAGGCTTAAAAAATATGCTATGATTGAAAATATAGTGCTAGGAGATCAAATTTCAATACAAAGCCATTGTTTATTGACGCGTAAGAATGACATTTAGAACAAAATATTATCTGGATTTCTGAAGTGTGGTTTGTACCATTGGTAGCATTATTTGGGTTATAATTGTTAACTTGTTTGACTTTCAAGTAAATATCTGCTTTTTCTCTAAGTTTAATACTTTTTATTTACTTTTTTAATGATAACCAATTGTGATTGTATACGCACTTATTGTCTATCCAACATCCAGCATCGCGGTCTGGCATATACTTGGGACGTAAAAATATTTGAAGCAATTCTACTTTTTGTTTATTCATAGTTTTATCTAAACTGTAATATATTGTATAGGATAGTTCAAATTATTGAATACTTAAAAAACTTTATAGTAAACAAAAACATGTCTCCAGGATTAAACTTAGTGAACACCCAACTGCTCACTGCAAACATCGCTTGAGGGGACATTTAGCCTTTAATGTCTATAAACTACTGTTGTTGTTATTGTTCTTATGTTGTTGCAATTACTACTCTTGTTTCTTAATACAGAACAACTTTGATACAAAATATCTATTAAAAAAAAAAGGAATAATACTATTGATTTCCTAAAAAAAAGTTACTAAGACTATACATTTCTCAATTGTTGCAATTTTTAATTTTTTTCTTTTAATTTTGAAAAGTTATAATACTTTTCAAATTATTGTAATTCTTTAATGTATTGCGTTATATTTCAAAACTTGTACACACTAAAAATAAAAAAAAGGTAGAAATTTCTACCTTAGGGTAGAATATGTGATATACCCTTAGTAAGGTAAAGTTTTCTTCCTTTTAAGGTAAAAAATTATATTAAAAACATTTATTTTTCATACGATTTACTACCTGAAAAGTATAATTTTCTACCTTTTTTTTTTATCCATTTAATTATTAAAATTGAAAAAAATTACTGATTTATTTATAATTTTACGATATTGGGTTCGGTGTCACTTGTATAGTTAAAAACTAATCATTTCTGTAATATCTTAATAAAATAAACAAATAAAGCAAAAAATAAATAAAAAACAAGTTAAAAAAAGTAATAATATAGGTAGTGATCAAAAAATAATTGTAATAAAAAGAAGAATCACAACTATTAAAAAAGTCAGGCTAATAACAAAAAAGGAAAAAGTAAATGAGCTGACTTGAGAGATAATGAATGAATGAGATAACACAACGCTTAACAATCGGAAGGGTGATATATTTAAATTTTATGATGAAAAAAAAAATCAAAAATAAAAACTAGAAAATTACTTAAAAAGTAAAAAATTACCTTAAAAAGTATAAAACTACTCCTTACTGAGAGTATATTACATAACCTACCTTAAGTAGAAACTTCTATCATTTTTCTTAGTGTGTAGTTAAAAATGTTTAACATTTTTTTATTTTATACTTTTTTGCTTTTTTTATTGTACAATAAAATCATAATATGACAACGTAAACGCTACTATTTTATTACTGTTGGGGAGAATCGCCTTAATTGGAACACATAAGGAATAAATATTTATTTACCAAGAATGGCTTAACTATGAAAACATTTATGAATTGATTAAAAAAAACAGACAACCCTAGAATATTTCCAACACAAACCATAATTTGACTTAAATGATTGCACTGTAATTGGAAATAAATTTGCTCTTGCAAAGATACCATTTTGTTCAAACCAAGGCAACTGGTTCCCTAAATAAAAGAAGATAAAATGAATGAAAGTCAATATACTGATTTCTAAAACATCTAAAAGGACGTAAACTGTTAAACTATATCTAGAAAATATCAAATAATTAATTTTGACATAAATTGAAACCGTCTAACCGCGCTAGCGCACAAAACAGCACGTTGAAGCAATAAAAAAAATTATATCACTACCTTGATTATTTAAGAATTTACATTACTTTTATATATCCTTTGCACACAGTTTTCATATGTATCAATTCCAAAAAATCCATCACATACCCACTAACTGCAATTTGAATATTTAAACGAATCTTCGTTTGCTTGCTTCGTTTGCTTGCTTCGTTTGCCCAAAACAGCTGCACAAGCACAACAAAAGTTTTTACCAGTATTATTTTTTTAAATAAAACCACTAAATGAACTTGGGTGATCAAAATCAGCTAAAAAAATAAGGCTTTCTTGTTTTTGTTTTCACTGATTTATCTTTGTTTTTTTTGACTTCTGTTTAACACTGACCACATTTTTTATTGAAGTCTTTTTAGCAGGAGGCTCCTTTATAAACTTAACATTATCTAGTGATGTAATAAGAGCAATATGGCGTTTTGAATGAGTAGGTTTGCTTTTTTTTCCGGAGAAGGTACAATTGTCCTTTAAATAAATACATTTGGGTGTCCTTGGTGAAATGTTGTTTCATTAAACACCTTTTTTTTTGTACTCGAAGTTGTTCACTGTATTTTTTAGGGGATGCAAATCGCAAAGTTAAAACGCATTATCAATTAATTCTCTTTTTGTAAGTATGTTGGACCATGTTTTCTTAAAAATAAGGGGAAAGTTTTTACGAGGCCTAAAAAAATCATCATTTTCAGCTAAGCAATTAGACAAGACCACACACGTTTAACTAACACACGATTTACTAACATGTGTGTCAAGTGATTGATGGCGATATGTACTATGAGGTGGATTGCATATTATTTCAATATCCATATCTATTAAATTAAATTGCTAATTAAATTGCTTCAAAAATTAAAAGATCCAAAAACAGTTTGTTTTTTTCCATCCACTTTTTTACGAAACTCATTAAAATGATATAAAAAGTCAATAAAGATCTCTTAATCAATATATCCGCTTTAACTGCAATTTAATTTTGAACCCAAAAGAATTTGGAATCTAAAATATGAAAAAAGGTGGTAAGCTGTCTCCTGCTGCTGATTGTGGTCAGATATGTTGTTAGTGAGCCACATTCCCCAATAGTTAACTTTTGCACCTCGCGAGAGCTCTTTACACAGAACCAATTTGCTTAGATGAAAGACCACTTTTTTTTAAAATTATAAATCAAATTTTATATACTTATATTTTACTATACATTATATTAAGCTTGTTTACATGTTTCACATCATAGTCTCGTTTACAATTAAAACTTCAAAAAGTTTTAAAAGCTAGCTGTAAACTAATTTATTATGAAAAGCCTATCTCTTATAGATAAAATCTAAAGCTTTAAAGTGCATTTGAGCACAACTTGATTTTCTTTCAAAAGGTGCTCCGTAGTTTAAAAAATTGCGTGATCAAAGAACCTAATTTATCTTAAGTATTTTTTTTTTTTTTTAACGACGAAGTTGCCCCTCATTTGAACATGTGCTAAAATTAATTACATGACGGTTCCAAATGAAAAAACGAAGCAACTTAGATTATCATTTTAAAAAACTGAAATCGATCTATCGAAAAAAATATACTTTGTGGTTAAAACATTGCGAATTTTGAATATTTTTTGACAATAGGCATTTAAGTAGAAAAATATTTTTTGTTTACTTTCAATATTTAAAGAAAAATAAGAATAAAAAAGGAAAATACATTAAATTTTTATTTAATAATATTTTAAAAACATCAGTTTAAAAAGTTTCAAAAAATCTAGTAAATAGATTTTTTAGTTTGTATGCATTATTATATTAAAGTTGAGTCGCATTATTATATTAAAGTGACGAATTATTATATTAGTCGCATTATTATTTTAAATTATTATTATAGTCGCATTATTATATTAAAGTGACGAATTCATCCCGCCTTACCCTATAAAATCTTCAACTGTAATGACGTTCTTATAATTTATTGATGAAAAATCACTAAATAAAATATTATTTTTAAGGTTTATGATTGTGACTAAGTATTTTCTAAATTGCACCTTTACAATTTCTACAAACCTTTGATTTTATTACTGATTAAGTAAAACTTTAAGGAAAGTAAGGAAAACTTTATAGTTCTAAAATCTTTCAAAGAGTAGAAAATAAGACGTTTTACTAGAAAAAGGCAAAATATAGCCGTAATTCACTTTTTTTTTCAAAAATAACTACATGTGTTCCAATTAAGACAACTCTCCCCAACATAAAGCAACAAAATGACAACGTAAACGCTACTTAATCATAAGACAGTTTATGTCTTCTCGTTGCTCCAGCTCTTTTATATATTAGCACAATTTATTTTGTTGTTAATAATAATATATAGGAAAATAATAAAAAAAAATTATTTATTTGTTTTACTTTTTTTAGGTGTCCCAAAAAGACCTAACGGTCTTGTTTACAGAGCACCGCAGAAGAGCATTTAACTACAAAGTTCACGCCTGTTTTCATACCGATGACGCAAGTAATGCGAAGAGCTCTCTTTGAGTCCTGGGAGATCTTTGTTTGTACCACAGCCGCTTTTTAAAAAAATGTGGTTTTGGGATTTTATATTAACCTTGAATGTAACCTCAATAAAAATGGAATAAAAAATTCAATTACACAGAGTGAAGTAAAAGATTTCCATTGGTGCTTTAATATTAAGGAACAGAAAACGATACATAGTAAAAAAAAAAAAAAAAATCAAAAAAAAAAAAAAAAAGACCAATTTTTAAAAAAAAGGACTTTTTACTCTTTGGACTATTTTGAAATTAATTTAAACAATGCTATTTTTATGTTATTTTGATAATACTTTATGATATTTTAAAGATATTTTATTTTATTTTTATGATATTATGTTGGTATATTTCTTTTAGTTACTCTTTAGTTAATATTTTACTGACAAATATGATATTTTTTTTTGTAATATAAAATGTAACTTATATAAATTTATTGATAATGTGCGTGTTTTAATTTTTTTTTGAATTGTTTTTTTCCATCAAAGTTTTAAACTTATTTTGTTGAGCTTTTAATTTAAAAAACTTTAAGAAATAAAATTTTATTATACCGAATTATTATAGTTTACTGTGGCTCTTTTTACAAAATGATTTATTTCCATATATTTATGAAACATTTCATTTAAATGTGATGATTCTAATTCTATTATAGCTTTTAAGCTAAAATCTTTATACAACTTTCGAAATAAATTGTTTCATGGAAAAAAACTAAAAGTTGCATAAAATTTTTATTATGGATAAATTACTTGCCTAAAGTTTGCAGTCGAAGCGCAGTGGTTAGAGATCTGGCTCAGAACCAAAAGATTTGTAGTTCAACGCTGGCTCCAGCCCAGTATACGACATTGGTAAGGAAGAAGACGTGAACTTCTTAGTTAAATGCTCATCCGCGGTACTCTGTGATAACGACCTAAAGGACTCATCATCATCTGTGATAACAACCTAAAGGACTTTTTGGAGCACCTTAATAATCACAGCAAAAAAAATAAAAAACAAAAAAGTTCAAATTTATATTCAAAAATGTAAAACAAAAGTGGTTGCTTTAAAAAACTCTAACAGATATCCCAAATAAATGTTTCTATTGTTTCAGGTTTATTGAATGCATTTAGTGTTGCTGAATAACGTGAGAAAGGTTCGTTTAAAAAAAAATTAAATCCGATGTGGCAAAGCGAATTAACATCCCAGATAGAAAAGTTTTAGTTAAAACATTTTAAATACCCAGAAAATCTTGAAAAAATTAATCTCAGCAGTTAAAATTTTTTAAAAAAATGACGAAATGGATTACCCCGGAGCTTACCTATTTAAAACCCTTATCAAAACAAATTACTTCTTTTTGATAGGCATTTTATATAGTTTAGCTATATATAAAATCCTATAATTTTGCCTGTGGCGACTAAGAAACTGCGTGAGTATAGTTTTTTTTTTACTAATAATATATAACTTTAATTAACATTGATTAAAATAATACTTAGAAAAAGTACTTTCAAAGTCAAGTCGATTTGTGACAACTTGACTTTTAAGTTTTATACTTTTTATAAAAGTATTTTCTGTCAAGCCGATTTGTGACAGCTTAACTTTAAATTATCCGTAGTGTTATACTCTTTATGAAAGTACTTTGAGAGTCTAGCCGAATTTTGACAAGCAATGTTTTGTATAAATCTAATAATTAGATAACAATTTTATTAATGATAGTTTAAAAATGATCAAAGATTGAGAATGGTTACTTTATTATCATACTTTATTACATTCAGACGTCCGTGAGACGTCTATATTGCACAGATATCCTAAGAATGTCTATACAAAGTCTTACGAACGTCACAAGTCCTTAAAATGTCCAGGAGGCATTCTGTGCCTGCTTTTTGCAACCATATTAATGTTTGTGTATGTACAAATACTAGAGCAGAGCAGAGTGGCTGAGCAGATCATTCATACTGCACAAGCTGCAGAGCGGATTATAAAATCAGCTGAATTATAAGTAATTTGCCAAATAATTTTGCAGACCATATGCACACAAGGCACTCTAAATCTTTATCCTAGAAAAAATCAATAGTTAAGAGACTTGAGTCTTGTGTGCTTTTTTTTTACTTTGGTAGTAAACGCTTTACCATTAAAAAAAAGTGACCTGCCATATTCTAATATGTAATTTGCCAAACAATTCCATGTTAGAGTTAGGTTGTTCGGATTTCCGCAAGTTTAAGTACAATGTATCACGTTTGATTGAAGATCGATGATAAAATGAACATGCCATCAATAGTTTTATATTAACTATCGACAATATATCCTTTTTACCATCGACCTTGAATCAAATATAAAACATTGTGTTTATATTGATTCTTTTTATCGTTCAGTTTTGATAATAGGTGCATCGTTTTTCATAGTATATTGGCGGATCACAATACAATAATTCTAACATTTACTTTTCCGAACTATTCGGCAAGTCATTTATGAGAATTCTGCTGATTTTATTATCTGCTGAATCGTTTAAACGACTGCAATTTGCAAACAAAATGCAAATTTGCACAATATAAATGTTTAGCTAATCTGTTCTGCTCTGCCGATTGTACCTACCTATTTAGACGCTATACTCCCGGTAGACGACTTAAGTAAACAGTGAAAGTTGTTTCTCAAATTTGTGTATAGCATGGCAGCCTCAATAAGAGAGCTTAATAATCTAGAAGATTGGGAGAAGGAATGGAATAATTTTGAAAATACTTTAAATAAATTAAAAGTAAGATTATTTGTGATTTTTATTGTTTTTACTTGATGTGTTTTGTTATGGGAACCATTTGATCCTTTAATTCGTATTCCCATTTGATCCGTACCTCACAAAAAACCAAACAGCTCCATAGACCCATAAAATTCCAAAAGTCCATAAGATTGTTAGCAAATAATTTCAAAGAAAAGTAAGCTACTAAGGTTTATAGAGATCTAAACGTTGGTACTGATTATATCATAAAATTCTTTAACTAATTTTGGACATACCTAAGCATGTTATTTCTCTGTGATCTATATACATTTTTTAAGGAATCAATCAATCCATGAGTCTTTAGTTAAAGACACATATAGTTTAAAAAGGTACCATTAATTTGTCAGCAATTGTTTAACTATTGATAACCATTGTAGTTTTAATTATATTAAAGTTGTACAGTTATTACAGTTACTTTTGTTTTCTTGCTTACTAGACATGTCTTAATTCTATTACTAATAGTACTACTTTTTGATTAAAATAACATATTTTTGTAAATGAAACCCTTGTTGATAAAAAAAACTTTAAGTCTTTGTCAAAAATAATTATTTCAGTTATCAAATACTAAAATCTTTCTTTTAACCTATCGTTAACAAAATAAATTTCCAAAAAGGATATGTTTAAAAAGGCTCTTGTTGCAGTTGTTTAGAAAATCAATTAAAAAGTTATCTGTTAAAATTTTTGTAGCACAGTTTATGTCTTTAGAAAAAACAAAAAAAAAAAAAAAAGCAACAAAAAAAAATTTCATGTATCAAATGCATTCATTTTAACTTTAACTGTAATTTAATAAATGTGTTTCATATTTATTTCTAAAACAATTACAAAATTTATATTGAAATTAGGCTATTGATAATCTGGTTAAATTAAAATAAAATAAAATGGTAAAAAGTAGTTATCATTTATGTTAAAAGGATTTTTTTTTTTATTATGTTGATGTAATTAACAGTGGAGAATGGGAGAGACTTCCTACACTATAGGAGAATAGACACTTCGAAATCTCCTATCCTGTTAACATGAGAACAATGTTATCTATGTTTAATATGTTGTTAGACATACACTCTTAGCTTTAAAACAGTTAGGTGACTTTTTCCAGCAAAAAAACAAATTTTAGTAAAAAAAAGTTTTTTTGGTTCTTTGATGTAAAATATTCAATTCAAAGTGAATCATATAGATCCTATTTATAAACTCTATCAGAGTTAGTACAATTTTTTTTAGAATAAATGGATACCTGTGAACATTTAAGAATGGAAATATTTAAAGTCTATAAATAAGATTATAAGAATTTCATTGGTTTTTTCAATACACCCCATTGGAGGAGATTTCCTCAATCCTCCTTCAATGCTATTGTAATGCTACATAACAATTTTATTTTGACAGTTATTAAAGTTATTCAAATTTCTATTTGTACAATCATTAACAATTGCAACATCATAATTCCCCTGAAGATTAGTTTCACAAAAAGACTTTTGTAGCTGCAAAAATAACATAAATGGCAAAAAGCTATAAAAAAAGACAATCAGGAAACTGTCTACAGACAAAACCTCTAAAAAAGCAATCATCCAAGAAATATTGTCAGATGAATCATTAGACCCACAAATTTCAACCAATAAGAGTTTATATAACCTTGATGGCGATGGATTGAATGATAGCCATACTGATACTTTTGATATTTTAGACGGAATGTTTATATTTGTAAAGGCTTATGGATGTGGAAAGCAATCAGGTCAAAACTATACATTAAAAATTAATGAAAAATTTTATCAATAAATTTATAAGAACTAATGAAGAATCTGTATTTGTCACTTATATAAGTTAAGTGCATTTCCAGTTTCTACAGAGGACAAGAGATCTTATTTTATTAATATGATATATTCTAAGCGCAGTTTAGATGAGTACCAATTTCTTTAATTTAGAAATAAAAAATAAAACATCATTATTGAAATTAGATTTTTTTTATTTGATCTCCATTATCTCCCTTATAGATAGTTTTTTTTAATCTGTGTTTTGTTTTTTTGTTTTTTTTTTTGTTTTTTTTTTGTTTTCTTTTTTATGGTTTTTTTTTTTAATTCTTTTTATGTTTAGTTTTTTTAAATTAAAAAAACTAATTAGTCTTTCACAGGAAGACGTGCGATCGCACATCAATATATGACTAGGCAAATTACATTTTGCTTTGATGATTTGACTGCAGCTATTTCAAAAAACATTTTTAAAACGGGCTATATAAAAATATTCTGAATTATACCTTAATTGAAATAAATTACATTAAAACTTCTAAACAAACATTTTTATATTTTTTTATAATGCTTTTAAATAAAGTATCAATTTATTGATAATGATTTTTTTTTTAGTATAATTGACAGTTGTATATAATTTTTTAATTTTATATTATAATAATTGTTTAAGTATACATTTTTTATAATAAACATTATTAAAAAATAAAAAAACTATTTTGTTTTTATAAATCATGACATTCTACGACAACGAGTCTCTTTAACAAATTTTAATATAAAAATAATTAAAGTTAATACATTTAAAAATACAATAATATAAATAGTTAATACAATAAAAAAAATACACAAAATTTTGTTGAAAAAAAAAGACAAATGTTTTAGAAAGCCATTACATTTAAATAAATTTGATCTTAAATGCTTATATAGAAGTTTAACACTTGTATTGAGTAAATTATCAAGTTCAGTCCAACCAACTGGACCCAGACTGGGGTTGCAAAAAACATCATGTGTTTTTTTCAACATTCGTGTGTAAATGGTTATAGCTGATATATAGAGTAACACATATTACATTAAACAAAAAAGCATGTTTATTTAAAGTTTATTTGAGATGAAACTGTTTTCCAGGTTCATTAACATCTAAAATTTAAAAAATCCAAAAAAAAAACAAAAAAGCCATTAAAAACATGTTTTTTTGTGCTTTGTGTTTTTTTTTTGTGTCACAACTCTTCTTATACATGGACATTTTTTAAAATAGTTTTTAATTTCAAAAATAAAAATAAAAAAAGTTAAAGTGTTTAATCACTTTACTTTTTAATCACTTTAATCACTGTAGTTTGACAAAAACTTTAAAAAAAATTAGTACTTGTTAAATAAGCTTATTAAATTATTAAATAAGACTTATTAAAATAAGACCAGAGAAAAAACTGTTCAAAGCCTTCCTGGTCTCCCTAATATACAAAAAAGACAATTTTACAACTATAGTGATGACAGCTTTTGTTATAAAATAAGTTTTTCTTTTATGTTAACTGTATACCTATTAAGTTAAGTAGATATATTAAGTTAAGTAGATTCTCAGTTCCAGAACAAACGTTGCTTGAAACAATGTAAAAAAATTACAAGATTATATTACATCTTTGAATGCAACAAAAGTAGGTAAAAAATGTTTGTGACGGCTTTGAGTTAAAGAAAAACCATTGTTAACAAAATGTAGATTTTTGTTCGTTTTGATTATGTCAATCTAATAAAAAATACCAAGAATAATTGGATAACAGAAAAACAAAAGAGTTACAATTTGATAATGACCAATGTATGACTGCTAAGAGTGACCTTAAACATATCATTGATTTTAAAAAAGATCAGCTAATTAATCCAAAATTATTGAAAAACATAAAAGTATCATATTTAAAAAAAATGTTGAATTAACATTAAAAAAAAAAAGAATGAAAAGCTTAAGGTCCATGCAGAATTGATTTTTTTAATTCAATAATATGAAAAATGTTTCGTTAATTTTTTTGAAGTGTTTTATTTAAATATGATGATATTTAGTAAACACCTGCAGTAGACATTTTGTGCATGGATACAGTACTTTTAAATTTTAGTAAGTTAACTGAAAATAATGCCAAAGCTTACTCACTTATTCAGCCTTTTTTTTTGTTCTTTGAAACATTGACCATTTTCAGTCAAAAATATGGATTCACGAAGGGGTAGGTCTTTAGTAAGTATCCTCATGATTTTACCTAATCCAAACCAAATTAAACAAAATTTGCATGTTTTTGTTGTTAGTGTTCTTAACTTATCACTTTGATGAGTTTATATCATGTAAATTACTAATTTGTTTATTCTATGTTTTTCTTTCGAACATTGAGGAGAGCCTTTTTATTAGAGACTACTTATTTTTTATTTCTGTTGCTATGCGTTACTAAAACCCTCTGTTTACCTTATAACTCTATAGCTCTAAAACACAAGTTTTGATGAACTAGGCAAATGAACTAAAAAACAAGTTGAGTGTACTACTATCAGAGATGTTGGATCAAACTTTCTGCTTCATGCCTAAAAGCAAACACTATACCACTACAGCACTATGGTTGTAATTATAAAATTTGTAAATTTAAAGTTTTATAAACAAATAATAAATAAAATGAACTTTGTCCATAAAATCTATGGTTAAAAGATATTTTAAGTTAAAGAATCTTAATTAAAATTTGAGAAATTTTTAATTACTGTCACCAGTATAGACAAACAGAATAAAAGTGGTATTTATTGAAGTATGATTCAATAAGATTAGGTATGATTTATAGAGGGTATTGTTAGGCTTGTTTTGTCCTAGTGAAGGTTTAATAAAGTATTTTAGAGGTATGATGATCGGAATAAAACATGTAATGCAACAATTTTTTTTTTCTAATGAGTTCATAACTTCCCAAAATAATTTCACCCATTATGAATAGTATAATATGGGAATATGATTTGATCATGTAAATGTCAATTAAAATTTAAAATGTTTTTTAACTTTTGTTTGGTATTGTATATGCCCAAAAATATTTAAGAGTAATTTTTTTTATTTTTTGAAAAATAAAGGAAGTTGAGTATGAGAAGCTAATGAAGTTAATGGATGAATACCACAATGCACAAACTAAACTAAAGAAAAATGTAGAATTTCAAACTAAAAATCTTAAAGCATTTAGTGTATCATTGAAGAGGTAAATTAAAAGTATAATATTATTTTTTTATTTAGCAATTTTCAAAATTTTTAAAATTTATATATTTTTAAAGTATTAGTAAAAATGTTGGCAATTCTAAGAACAAAGAAAAATTGATGATAATGTCATCAAAAATGGAAAAAGCTAATGACTGTTTTAGAGAATTACGACAAGCTCTTCCAAAAACTGCTGGGTATTATTTTATTGCATAATTTTAATATTAGTTAGTGATAATTTTTTTTTTATCATTCATAATATTTTTTTTTATTAAATTTTTTTTGCAAATAAATGTAACATTTTTAATTATACCTATATACCTAAATGAATAAATCTAAATAAATACTTAAACTTTGAAAATATATATTATTCATATAGGTATATTAAAAATGTTACATTTATTTGCAAAAAAAAGTTTAAGTATTTATATTTTTATATACTATATCTTCTATTTTGCTTTTTTTTTTTATTTATGCAAACTCCAACATAAAACACCCCCTGGCTTGGGGCTCTTGGTTGAGTAAAGTCTAGAGATAGTGTCTTGATAAAAATACTCATCTTGGGCAGATGTTAAATGCATCCGGCTGCTGTCTTGTAGAAGGCCTCCTAGGCAAAGACTTAAGGGGTAAACAGATTCTATCAATTGACCAGCCTCGCACCCCTTCTTCATCTATTAGGCTGGCGTAGATGTATTTTTAATACATTGTTTCCAGTTTAGGATGTTGAACGCTGGATCTTCTTGACTCAATTCATGGGTTTTGCTTTTGTCTTTGTTTTTATGACTAGGCAACTCATTCTATTATCTCCAAATGAGGGTACATTTCTAAAACTCAGTTTTATGGTTCTGAGGCCGGCTGGTAGTCAGGTTTCCCGAACTCTGTGGTAGCTCTCAGAGAGGCTGATTCCATCAACAGCTGAAAAATATCAGAGTACTAACAGTGCCATGTTGCGCATGGATGGTGTCCCTGTTTGTACTTTTGGTGTGCATTGCCGAGGCCACATTGGAGCCCTTTGTTACGGCTTAGGGTTTATTAATGGAAATGAAGCAATTGTTTGGGCTATAAAACAGTGTACTGAGTACTATCTATGTTTCGAGTCAAGTTCTTTAACAAATTTAAAAATGAATAAAGTAACAAAAACTATAAAACATAAAAAACCACAGTCATCACCAAGTTCGCTAAACCTATCATTCACCAATATTCGTGGTCTTCGAAGTAACTTTTCTTCTGTTGAATCTTATCTCTTGCAAAGTTCACCAGACCTACTTGCTCTTTGTGAGACTAATTTGAATTCAGCTGTCTCATCTTGTGATCTTAGTGTTGATGGTTATCTTCCTTTAATTCGTAAAGACTCCAATAATCACATGCTTGGCCTAGGCATTTACATTTGTAAGAATTCACCCATTTGTCGTGAAACTAGGTTTGAATCCACAGACTACTCTTTTATGTGCCTTTGTTTAGCACCACTTCACTCTATCACCTTTCTCTTTGTTCTATATCGCTCTCCCTCATCTCAAGATTGCACTCTTCTTGATGTTATTTCTGATTATATTGACCAAGCCCTCATTCTTTATCCATCAGCCAATATTGTTGTTGTCGGTGACTTTAATGTTCATCACACTGAATGGCTTGGCTCTAGTATCAGTGACTCTGCAGGCATTAAGGCCCACAACTTTTGTCTTTCTCAATACCTAACTCAAATAGTCAACTTTCCAACTCGCTTTCCAGACAACCCAAATCATTTACCTTCTCTACTCGCCTTATGTCTTGTTTCTGATCCTAGTCAGTGCTCAGTTTCTTTACACTCACCCTTAGGTGCTTCTGATCATGGTTTGGTCTCTCTAAAACTATTATCTCATTCTTCTTTACCATCAGAATCCCCCTATCATCGTACATCTTACAACTACCTTGAAGCTAACTGGGACTCTTTCCATGATTTTCTTTGTGATGGCCCCTGGCTAGAAATCTTTCGTCTCCCTGTTTACAAATGTGCTTCTTACATAACTTCGTGGATTCAGGCTGGCATGGAATCCCTTATTCCCTCTTGACAATTCCAGGTCAAGCCTCACTCTTCTCCACCTGTTGCGTTCTACCTGATATAGCCGTCAAACAGGTTGATCCATTGCTCGATATTCGTATCATTCCAGCTTCTGTATCTAAAGTGATTTCCTGCTTAGACTCTTCTACAGCTTGCAGCCCCGACAACATACCTGTTATAGTCTTGCAGAAGTGTTCTCCGGAGCTGTCGTCTATCCTTTCAAAACTATTCAACAAGTGCTTATCAGAGTCTTGTTTTCCAGCCTGCTGGAAAGCAGCATCTGTTATCCCTGTTTTTAAAAATTCTGGAGAGCAATTCGATTCGTTTAACTACCATCCCATTAGTCTTCTTCCTATCATAAGCAAGGTTTTTGAATCTTCAATTAACAAACACTTAATCTCGAATCTCGAATCTCATAACATACTTTCTGATCATCAATATGGTTTTCGATCTTCTCGTTCTACAGGTGATTTGCTGACAGTAATAACCAATAGGTTTTATTGCACATTAGATAAAGGTGGAGAGGTTAAGGCCATTGCTCTTGACTTTTCTAAAGCGTTTGATAAAGTTTGGCATGCTGGTCTTCTCCATAAGCTTTCTTCTTACGGTGTATCTGGAAACATCTTTAAGATTATTGAATCCTTCCTTTCCAATCATAGTATAAAAGTTGTCCTTGATGGACAGCACTCTTCTTCTTATTCTGTAACCTCAGGGGTTCCTCAAGGTTCAATCCTTAGTCCTATACTCTTTTTAATTTACATTACAATCTTCCAGATATTCTCACTTCTTCATCTTTTCTCTTCCAGTAACTTCCAACACTAATTAGTGGTTGCTTGCAGCCTTGTTGGAAGCGAAGATAATTAAAAAAAAAAAAAATAGTCTTTATATTTTAATCTTTCATGTTAAACACTGGCTCAATCTTTTTGCTTCTATTGTATTTTGTTATGTTGTTATGAATAAATATATATACATATATACATATATATATATATATATATATATACATATATATATATATATATATATATATATATATATATATATATATATATATATATATATATATATATATATATATATATATATATATATATATATATATATATATATATATATATATATATATATATATATAACAACCCTCAGAATTCGGGTCAACAAAAAATTAAATAAAAGCATAGAATTGAGGTCGGCAAATAATTGCCATCCTCATTTCTATGTTTTATCGTGAGACCTTTGTATCAAATTTTTTTTGCCAACCTGATGCCAACCTCTAAAAGATTGAGGTCGACAAATTATTGCCAACCTCGTTTTTCCTAATTCCGAGGGTTGATATAATGTCATATAATCGACCAATATTCTGTTTTGGTATCGACTGAAATTTCAATTTGAATGATACCAATATTTTGGTTTTGGTACTTTTTATAAGTTGGGTAAAAAGCACAATTTCGGTTGTAAAACAAACCAAAAACTAAAAAATTTATTAGATTTTTTCTGCGAAAATTTTTGCGATCTGGTAAATTTGAGTTAATTCACTGTTCAAAATGAGATAACACTAAACTGCAAAACTTTTGAATTATATAATTAGAGTAAAAGTTAAAAAACATGAAACATATAAAACTGACACTATATAAACATACATATAAAACTGACACTATATGAACAAACATATAAATATTGCATCATGGTCATGAACAGTTTATTTAAACATTATTTATCTTATCTTATTACATTGATATAATGTCATATAATCGACCAAAATTCTGTTTTGGTATCGACTGAAATTTCAATTTGAACAATACCAATATTTTGGTTTTGGTACTTTTTATAAGTTGGGTAAAAAGCACAATTTCGGTTGTAAAACAAACCAAAAACTATCTGCTTATTACAGAGAAATTTTTTCTTTTGACAATTATTTGTTAAAATCTGCAAAAGTAATTTTTGAAAATGATAGCAAGATAAAAAAAAATGTAATAAGATAAGATAAATAATGTTTGAATAATGATTAGTTTAGTGTTTTCTCATTTTGAACAGTGAATTAACTCAAATTTACCAGATCGCAAAAGTTTTTGCAGAAAAAATCTTATAAATTTTTTAGTTTTTTGTTTGTTTTACAACCGAAATTGTGCTTTTTACCCAACTTATAAAAAGTACCAAAACCAAAGTATTGGTCTCGTTCAAACTGAAATTTCAGTCGATACCAAAACAGAATTTTGGTCGATCACTACTATAGAATATATTTTAATTTTATCTACTATATAAATATATTTAAATTTTTGATTTAATTTAAAAAAATGTTTATGATAAATACTAGCAAAAAGCAACCCGAAATACGGGTTTTGGTCAGTCTGTTACATAATTAATTTATAGTGGCTGTTTTCCACAATTTAATGTTGCAAAACCTTAACTAATACCCTTTTAGAAAATCGCCTTCAGCTTGAAAAAATTAATCCATCTGTAAAATTAACATAAAAAGTATGAGAAGGTAAAATAATTTACCAACTACTACTTAACATTTACAAGTACTACTTATCATTATTTGAGTAATTTACAAATGGCATAGGTCATAACAGTGTAAGGCAGAACCATTTTCATTGACCTTCCTAAGTTTAACACAATACGTTTTTAGTTACTGACACAAAATAATAACACTTGGTCATGCTTCCTCAATTGACGAAAGTATCAACGAAATCCTTGTAATAATTTTTATAACACGAACCATTAAGATTAAAATGATGTTAACTTATATTATACAGGAGTTATCAATTTTTTAGTATTCCCTTGATTAATTATTCTTTAAAAAAAAAAATTGTTAACTTAAAAATATTAAATGCACACATTTAAATAAATTTATTAAAAAAAACTATGTTTATTATAAATAACTAAGCAACTGAGTACAAATACGTTTCAACCAAAAAAAATTTGAATCAAACATGGGTATAACAAATTTGAAAAAATATGTAAACTTAATGCATTAATGCATCATATGAAAAACATAAAATAAAAATTATAACAGATAAGTAGACATAAAAATTTGTAAACCAAGCTGACCCTACCCGGGTCTTGTTAAGTCTGTTCAACACAGACCATTACTATATTATTTGTTTGGCCTCTTTATTTCATTAATTTTTAGTAAACAGTAATTTGCCACCATTTACTAAAAATTGCTTTTGTAACTCGAAATTTAATTTTCCTAAATATTTTGACTCTAATAAAGAGGTTCCTCCCCTCTTTTTGCTTTAATGGTGGCCAGGTGAGTAGAGTTTTTTTTATTAAGAGTAATCATGTTTTTGATGAAGACCTTTTACCAAAATAATAAAATGTAAAACAATGATCTACATATATAAGAATGTTTTCTTTCTTTCCTCAAAAGTGTTGCAAATACAGACTAAGCTAACTAATTAGTTAAACACATAAATTAAACTTAAGTAACTCAATATTAATGCACAAAACTACAATATTCTCCATGTTTTTAAAGGTTTTTAGTTATGACCCCCCATTTACAAAGATCCCTCTAAAATACGTACAACAAAGTATTAGGCACAAAATAGATAAAATGTAAAATTAACTAATAGCATATATTTATATCTTTTTAACTAACAAAAATTTACAATATAAAGTAATCAGGTTTTTTTATTTTATAAATCTTATAAATGTGTCATAACGTAAATCTAAAATAAAAAAAGTAATGAAATTATAACATCATAATTACAAAAAAAAAAAAAAAAAAAAGAAAAAAACCACCACACAATTACCGAAAATCGATTTACCTATTTATAGCAACCTATTTTGAAATTGCAGTTAAAGATTCATCAAAAATGTAACTATAAAATCTGTTTCAAAGTACAAAAGCATTAACAATACTAAAAAAAAATCAAACTAAGATATAAATTGTTGTCTTGGCTTTTATAATTTAAACATATATACAACTATAAACAAATATGACTTTATGTAAAACATATAAACACATTTTACAACTATTGAATGATAGATATATTTATCAAAAACTATGAAAAAAATAAATAATGGTAAATAAAGCATACAAAATGTGCTCACAATCTTTCTATACATACAAAATGTGCTCACAATCTTTAACAGTAAATTTTCGAAATGAAAATCTTAAGACTATAAATTAAGAACATTAAAAAATATAACAATATTTATGTAACATTTTTTTACCTGCTATAACTTGAATAAGATGTTTATCAATTTTGAAAAACAAACTATTAAATGCTCTAGTTCTTGAAAATGCAACATATAGTTGACCATGAGAGAAACATGGTTTTTGAGATGTTTCTTTTGTCTATATGTTTAATTTCGCATTACATAATATATGGACGACCCCTAAAAGAAAATATTTGAAACTAAAAAGATTTTATTTATTACAATATTTGAACAACCAAGGGATAATTTAAAGAATTATATCTTTAAACAGCTAGCAACTCGTAAATATATCTTATAAATGGTCATTATCAATCAAAGTATTAAAAAATACGCAAGAACTCAATAATTACATGTGTTTAATTAATTCTCCATCTACAATTCTCAATACTAATTCTTATTTAAGTCTCATCTAAGAGAGAGAGGAAGTGTTTTAAAAACAGCATGTTAGAAAAAGTAAAAAAGTCATGCAATAAATAACAGTAACTGGTTTTATTATGCTACCAATAAACAAAATTATTTTTACTTTACCTAAAAGTTAATCTCCAGCATTTCTTAATTAAGTTCCAGCTTCTCTCTAACTGTTGACAAATGATTAATATTGTAAAAATCAACACCGCTTGACACTGAGTTCTGGCAAGTAAGTTTTCTGTTCATCAAGCAAAATTTCTTATATTTCAACGACAATTAATTTTATCACGCCTAGATCTATTTCTTTCATATGGCAACAATTTCAAGTAGCCTATAATCATTTACACTAATAACTTCTTGGAGCCTAATATTATACATCTGTTATCATTAAACATATTACCAGTGATTATACTACTGTTACAACTGAATAAATGAACGTTTTATATTTTTACAACTGAAAAATATAAAACAAAATTTATTGACATTATTTTAATTTAGCAAGGAATTTAGACTACAATGCAAAGTTATTTATACCTTCAGGCACAATCTTAATGCACAAAAATAATAAATGCAGAATTTTGTATATAAATGAAGCAATGTCAGTCTAAAGTAATATATGTATGTATGTATATACATTCAAATTTTTTCTATTCTTTTTAATTTTTTCCTTGAGATAATATTTATATAGATTCAGAGAAATAAAAAATATACTGATATATAGGCACATTTATGTATATAAACTTACCTCTCAAAAATTACAGTCAGTTTTCTATGTTAAATGCATAAAATATATATCTAATATAAAATAAATCTAATAAAAAATAAAACAAAATATTAAACTTACTCAAATCAGTAACAGTTTGACTGTCTAAAAAATTTTATTATTAACCCTTCTATTTAAAAAAAGAAACAAGTGATTTGAAGTGACTAAAAAGCACTTCAGCTCTTTCCAATTGCACTAAAAAATAAAACAAATCTTGCTTTGCTAAGTTGCCTAGTTCTTAAGAATCTGAAAACAAATAAGTAAAAAACCAAGAACAAACAAACATTTATTTATTAAAACTACTCTATTTATTTAAACAAATTAAATTAAACAGAGAACATCATTGATTCTCCTTGAAAGCTGAAAAACTTTTCCGCTCAAATTTGCTTGCAGACCTTGCTTATTAAACCACTTGAATGAGAAAAGCATCAAAAAAGCCTAGAAGCTACTTAAAAATGGTATATGCAACATTGAACTTTAAATGTTGACTGGAATAGATATTTTTAAAAAATTCATAAAAATTCAAAATGATTTGTTCTTCTATAGCAAATAAATACACCATAAATCTGAAGTTAAAAATGTAACAAATAAGTAAATACAAAAAAAAACATCCTATGTGAATTGAAAATCTATGTACCTGATAGAGATAAGCTGTTGTGATACCTGAGTAGTAGTTACTAAATATTGTTATTACATGATAAACAAAATGTATTTATAGCGAAATGATGTCTTGAATGAATTTTAGTAAATAAATAAAAGCAGTGAGTTCTAGTAATGAAATTACCTATTAATCATTTTTAACAGCTGACACCAACGTAAAGAAAAGCCGAAGGCTACAACATTACGCGAAAAATAATGCAATGTGTTTTCAGAATAGTTATATTAAAGGTTAAGCAACACTTAGACCTAAAGCAGTAACATCGCTTGACTGGTAAGGTTGATAAATCTTGCTCTACAAGTTTGTTAAGTCACGCCACTTTGAAATCATGAAAACAACATTATATAAACATATATACTAATTATAAAACACAATATATTTTTAGCATATAAAAACACCCCATTTAACAATCATGCACAAATTAGATATAATACATTTCATATTATTATAAAGGCGCATCTATATAAACACATTTATAAAACAACTAAATAACATATAATATATGTTATATAGTTGTTTTTATAAATGTAAATAAATTCTCTATATCTATATGTATTACATATAGATATAGAGAAATATAAAATAGACTGAAATAAATGTAAACTTATGTATATAAGCTTACATGACCACAAATAACAGTCTTATTTTATTTAACTTTTCATATTAAATACATAAATAAAATTTTATTCTCATTATTCTTTCTATAAAAAAATATCTATATCTATATGTATTACATATAGATATAGAGAAATATAAAATAGACTAAAATAAACGCAAACTTATGTATATAAGCTTACATGAACACAAATAACAGTCTTATTTTATTTAACTTTTCATATTAAATACATATATAAAACTTTATTTTAAATTTAATTCTTTTTGCAAAAAACAATCTTAATCTATAAATAAGATAATTAATTGAACTTACTAAAAAAGCCATCAGCTTCTCTCAACTGCTCTAAAAAATAAAAAATACTTGCTTAAAATGTTCTAAAAAGACTAACAACAAAATGAAACAGTTTACTAAAAAATAAACTTTTACCAAACATTTTAGTTCTAACTTCTTCTAAAAAATAATTTTAAAATTTTACCAAACATTTTAGTTCTAACTTCTTCTAAAAAATAAAAACAGACTATAAAAATTAGAAAAAAGAAAAATAAGCAACAACAAATTAACAATTATTTAAATTTTTATTTTGAAAAATAAACAACATCAATTCTTCTTGAAAATAAGTGTATCAGCTCCAATTTGCTTGCTGATTTTACTCGAAAAACCACGTGGAATATATAATTGCGCTTAGAAAAGTCTAGAAACAACTTAAAAACTTAGAAATAGTGTATTTTACATAATGCAGAACCCTAATTAACAAAAGGAACAATAGGCGTAACAATGCGTAACTATGCGCACTAATAATAATGATAATAATCATTGCTGTATTAATATTTAGATAATGTTGATTCAATCAGGGAAGCCATTATGGAATACCATTTTAAACCTTGTCTGTCAATTGCTATCTTGCTCTACAATCTTTATCTTTTCTCTTCCAGTAGCTTCCAAATCTAATAGTGGTTGCCTTAAAGTGCCAGAGGTGTTTTATAAAAAAATGAAACAATAAAATTAAATCAAAAAATATTTTTCATTTCTATGAACTGCAATATAGAATATAATTTTTAAGCTTTCATACATAATCGTTTACACTATTTATCAAAGTTTAGTTTTTAAAATTTTAATGACTAAATTAATTGCATTTTTTTACTTAAAATAAACTTTTGAGTATTTTTTATTTCAGCTGGTTTCTGAGAGCTTGTATTGGTGAAATAAATGTTTCATTATTTTGGGATAAGTATGCTTTTAAATAGAAAAAATAAATTTCATATAATTTCATACACACACATGTACACATACATGTATATATAAATAAATATATATTTATATATATGTATATATATATATATTTATATATATATATATATATATATATATATATATATATATATATATATATATATATATATGAGTGTATATATATATATATATATATATATATATATATATATATATATATATATATATATATATATATATACATATATATATATATATATATATGAGTGTACAATCTTAATGCACAAAAATAATATATACACTCATATATATATATATATATATATGAGTGTATATATATATATATATATATATATATATATATATATATATATATATATATATATATATATATATATATATATATATATATATATATATATATATATATACATATATATATATATATATATATATATATATATATATATATATATATATACATATATATATATATATATATATATATATATATATATATATATATATATATATATATATATATATATATATATATATATAAAATAAAGATTTAAAAATAAAGTTTTAAAAGAAAATATATTTTTTATCTGGTTTTACATTAAATTAAATAAATTTATTAATTTAACATTAACAATATTTATTTTTATAGGAATCATTATAAAGAAGTGTATGAACGTTTTAAACTACGAACAATGATCTTTGCATTTATCCTTGGTTTATTGAATATTTTTTTCCTTCCTTCAAAGTATTTTTTTTAATATAACCATTGCTTATATATATATATATATATATATATATATATATATATATATATATATATATATATATATATATATATATATATATATATATATATATATATATATATATATATATATATATATATATATATATATATATATATATATATATATATATATATATATATATATATATATATATATATATATATATATATATGTATATATATATATATTCATACATATATATATATTCATACATATATATATATATATATATATATATATATATATATATATATATATATATATATATATATATATATATATATATATATATATATATATGTATATATATATGTATATATATATAGATATATATATATATATTTATATATGTATATATATATATATATATATATATATATATATATATATATATATTATATATATATTATTCTATTTTTATTTATACATATTTATATTTATTATTTTATTATAAAAATATATTTTTTATTAATATTTATATTAATATAATATTTATATTAATATAATATTTATATTAATATTAATATTTATATTTATAATAATATTTATATTAATTTTTGTTATTTTTATTTATTTATTTTATATTATATTTCATTTTTAAGTTCATCTATTTACAAAAACGATTAATTACAATAACATAACCAAATTTAAACCTTGCCATAACCCTAACCCTAAGCCTGATCTTGATGTCTGGCTAAACCAATCCTCAGTCGATATAGCAGCACTCCCTTGCGAGTCAGGCTATTCGTCAGTCGATGTATGTACTTTTCGTTTTCTATAAAAGTTTCTTACGGGTACATTTTTTCACTAAAAAAATCATGCTTACGGGGACAAAAAAGTAACAGGTACACTAAAATGTCCCCAATAATGCTAATGTTCCTGCAAGTGTTCGTTTTTTTGTAAAATCTGTCCCCATAAGTGCTAAACTATACAAATATATATATATATATATATATATATATATATATATATATATATATATATATATATATATATGCATATATATATATATATATATATATATGTATATATATATATATATATATATATATATATATATATATATATATATATATATATATATATATATATATATATATATATATATATATATATATATATATATATATATATATATATATATATATATATTAATATATATATATGGGTGTTCCAGAAGTAAACTTTTCCCATCTTTGCCCTTTGAGGTTAAAAATCAACGGAAAATAAAAAGTAGTAGTCTAAAAGTGGTATCTGTAAAACTTAACAAAATTATATTATGCTTATATTATGCAAAACGTGTGTATGTTCAAGATGAGGCTCAACAATATACTTGTCATTTGCTTATTTTATTTTGAACCTTGATTTGTTTATAAGCATTATACTTATTAAAAAAAGCATGTCAACTTTAGTCACAGTTAGTCAATTAAAAAGGTAAATTTATTAATTCAGTTTTGGCTACATGTGTTTGAAATTTTTGAGAGGATGAAATGAAAAAATGAATGTATGTTTTTTAATTTAATTTTTTACAGTATTTTCTGAAATGTGTCATCTTTGCAAGAAACCCACATAAAAAGGAGAAAAAAGAAAGATACAGATTAACCCCAGAAGGCCTCTGTTTCTTATAAAGTATCCTATTAATTAGTTGCCCATGAACCAGCTCCCCAGCATTGTAAATGTACTTAGATATATACAGTTTGTCAAATCTCCAAGATCTTTGAAGTTTAAATCTACAAAGCATGTTGTAGCTTGTTTTCAAAAGTTTCCATGCAAAGATCTTTTTTTATGTAAAGATCCCAACCATAGATGTGTGACTGCTCTTGTAATGGATGTGTGAAACAAGGCTAGTTTAGGAAAGTTTGTTATTTCTGGAGCAGCTGTCACACAAAAAATATTTTTGATTAGGTAAATAAAAAATAAGCAACTCAACAAAAAAAAGGTAAATACAAACCTTAATAAAAAAAAGTAATTATACCTAGGTAATTAGTTAACTTAAGAAATAATGTTTTTTTATATTGTTAAGGGATAGGATTCTGAAGCTCCATACTAAGTATTGAAATAAACTTAAACAAATAAGTTTAAACTGATCTTTTAGCATTGATAGTTTTAATAAGATGCAGGAGGATTTCAAACAGGAGAGTAACAAACTCTTTGACATATCTGTGGAGATCAGAAGATGATCTAATCAGATTGACTTCGTTCTCAGGAGACCAAGGCAGAGGATATTCAGTTTTTTTCAGACCAGAAGAAGAATAGAAAATTGTATATTATAGCAGAAGTAGACAAAGAATTTAAAATATCTGTTAATACAGACAGGATCGGTGGCAGAGAATAAAAAGTATAAAAAATATAGAAGTGAAGAAAAGACAAAAGAAAAAAGACCTGGCTCTAAATCCTGTTTCTTTTGATTGTGATCCTGGATCCTCTGCTTTCGAGTCAGGCGCTGTATATTTTACAAATGAAGATTTTGTCAATGAACTAATTCAAAACTCTGATTCTACAGTAAAAGCAAAGGTTATTATTAAGTTTATTTTTAAGGTTGTTTTTAGTTAACTCAATATTAAGTTGATTTACTTAATTTTAAGTAAACTAAATAAAAATTCAATTGGAGTAGAAATATCATTATTATTCATTTTTTAGATAATGATAAATATTATCCTCAGGATCTGGTGGATTGTACTTCTGTAGTATCTGGTCGGTATAGAGTTGGGATCCGACCTCAAACCGAAATCATTGAAGCAATATGCAATAAACCAGGCATGAATCTTGATAATATTCTAATCTCCAAAATCTCTGTTCATCGAAAGAGATTCAAGAAGATATTGATATAGATATAAAGATTTGAGTAAGAATAATTAGTAGAAAAAAAAGAAGTTAAAATTAGTAGAATAAAGATATGTAATTTAATAAAAATTTAATTATATAAGTGATAAAGTTATTTTAATTATTAGCAAATCAGATAATAAAAGATATAATAGAATCTTTGAGGTAGAACACGGCTTGTCCTTCTCTTTGACAACAAAAAGATCAAGGAAATTGAGGAGAATTCAAATTTTACTGTTGCTGTTGAAAGAATTTCTGTTAGTGTTACTTCACCAGATATTGATTACACAAATATTAGAGTAGTTCAAACTAAAAGCTCCAAGGGAGTTGATTAGGCATAAGTCATCTTAAATCTCTTATATTATTATTAAAATGTTGATCAGATCTTTGCCGTATGTTGTGACACCACTGCTTCCAACACTTATTATTTACAAATATTCTCAACATCTTTTTTCTCTGATTTCTCTGCAGGCAGCTCATGTTGAAGCTACACATCTCTCATTTTATTGAAAATCTTACTAAAGAGAAAACAAAAAGGCTCAGGAGAACCTTGTATATGAGACTACAGAAACCTGGCCAAGTGTTTAGAAAGAGTTAGACATGATGAGGGATATCATCAGGTTTGATTGAAATGAGCTCCAGGTTGGATCATCCCTGTACAAGATTGCAAGAGAGATCGTAGAGTTTTGCAAAAATGCATTAAGCACAAAAACATTACAAGAAGCTCTGTGAACTAATTGACTTCTATTTAGGAGAAGATATACCAGGGTTTAATTTTTATCCACCTGGAGTCTGTCATGAATCCAGGTATAGTTATTATCAATCATTTTTATTTTTAGTGGAGAGTACATTTTCAATAATGATAATTTATTTATAAGGTTCATGGCAGATGCTCATGCTGGCCCTGAGAATGACTGAAAAGATAACCCATGTAATGAATGAAGAGGCGAAGAAGATGGTAAAGACAGCAACATTGATTATTTCTATATACTATGGACACTTATTCTTAAAAGTCTATATGTCAACTTCGAATGACTTGGCTGTCTTTAAGTCATCATTTGAAATAAGGGCCTATTACCCAAAACTAGGACAGGTCCTTCTTGTCAGCATGCAGGGGCACACTTGATACTTAACAAAACAGTTAGTTATACTGGCCCGAGCTGCCGATAGGAAATGACTGAGGCTGGTATTTGACTGTGGCCAAAGTTGGTTCTACGGAAGGGACTGCATAAACATGGGTGCATATTGACTTTTTTTTATATATCATATCAATATACACCAGTATTTATACAGCCTCAGCCATAAACCCGGATTTGACCCAGGTTAAATACCAGCCTTGGTTGTTTACTAGCTGCCCATGATGTTAATGAGAAGGAAAAGAAGAAGATGTTGGAGAAATTGATCAAGTGTGAAGTTCCTAAGCAGTTTCCTATGGTGAAACCAAAGCTACCTGTTATTACAAAATCAATAGAGCTCACTGAACTTGTAGGTTCCCAGAGCTTAAATCTGTTCAACATAGCCGAAGTTCCTGTTGGAAAAGTAGAGAAGCAGATCAAGCAAGATTCCAATCACACGTTTGATTTATTTAAAAGGTTTTTAAAGTTGATTCTATGTGTGAATGGCTGTGCAAAAAAAAACATCTGACTAATCCAGGACTTTGTTGGAGTTACAGGCCACATGAAATGAAATAGAATCTCATGCTTGTTGCCAGAGACAACAGAAAAAATACTAATCAATTCAAAAATGTTTAAATATTTTGAAGAGAGTTACTAAAATAAGTATTTTGTTTTTTTCTAAATTTTAAAAAAATGAAGTTTTACAGATATCAATTTTAAATAAACAAAAATGTTTTTTAAGTTTTTTTTTGCCTATTTGGACCATAGAGAATAAGATAAATTTAAGAATAAAAAAGGTATAGGTATATATTAATTCCTAAAATGCACGCTTTTTTTTTTTTTTTTGAAGAAATGTATATACAAAAAGGATAATATGTATCTAAGGATGCAATCTAATTTTGTGCGCTTTAGTTTTTGAAAAATTTGAACACATACACACTACCAATCAAAAGTTCTCAATTACCTTTGATTGTTATGATGATTTGATTGTATCTGTGATTGTAATGACAATGTTATAACTGATTATTATGACTACTTTGATTTTAAAGTGCTTTTGAATAAAAGATGATTTTTTATCAACAGAAACATAGTAAAAAGTATCAAAGTTAAACATTAGTTTGATTTTTTCTCAAATTTGGATTTCTTCAAAGCAACCGTTAAGCTTTAAAACTGCTGCACAAACTATTGGAATTCTTTTCACCAATTTTTTTAATGTGAATAATCAGGGTTTTCTCTAATACTGTTGCGAGAATTTCTAGAGCTCTTGATTTGTTGGTTGCATTTGTTCTGCATAGATCATCCCACAAAAATCCAATAGGATTGCAATCTGGTGACAGAGGTGGCTAATCTGTGTATATTTGCACGTTCTTTTGTTATAAAATAATTCTTACATAATTTTGATCTGAAAATCTGATAATTTAACTAATTAACTTTACTAAAAAGTAAACCAATTGTCTATAACTTTTTGTCCAGATAAAGATGCTTTACTAAAAAGTAAACTAATTGACATTTGACATTTTAGAAATGAACTTTATGACAAATGAGTTTTTAAAACTGTCTATACTATACTTAAATGTCATACTTTTGTATGTTTGTTTTAACAAGTAATTTTTAGTTTTAAATTAAACCAAAATTTGCTTGGTAAAGTATAATACTTTTTTTCCTTTTTTCTTTATTGCCTTTTATGGGGTTTTTTTCTGAAATTTTTATTATTTTTAAATTTTTGTATTATATTTTATAGATTTTTTGATTCCTTATTCAATGCCATATTAGTATGGTATTACAGTTCATTAACTTTGCAAGAACAGATTCTCCGAGCTAATGGATCAAGGTTTTTATTTACTTTTTTGAGTTCTTGAAAGTATTTAAAGATTTTACTTTATTTTCTTTTTGAAAGCAAATAAACTGTATATTTTCATTGTAAAAATAAGTTTTTTATTTTATATTATCGTGTTTAAAAAAAATTTACTTTGGCTCAAAGGTTGGTTTTTATACTGAGATTTTTTTATTGCTAGAATTAAGGGATGGTATGTAACTCATCATTATTTATCAATACTTGTTTCTGGTTTTTTATTAATTTGGTAAGTACTTATAATTTTTGTGTTTTTGGAACTTAAAACAATATATGATTATGAATTTCATTGTTTTAAATTTCATTATACTTTTAAATGTTAAGTCGTCATAGTAATCTGTTGTTATTGTAATTATGTTGATTTAAGTTTTTTTGTTTATTGTAGGCCAGCGAGTGTTACCTATCAATTATTTCGAACACAGTTTTATATCTTTGTACTTTATCTGAGTATGTTTTGTATTCAATCAATATAAATTTTATATAATAAATTGCATCTTTAAAAATAAATTAAATCAATTGTAAATAATTCATTTTTAGGAAAATAATATTTTTAACTATAAATAAAAGCAGATTAAAAAAACTTTAGAGAACTTCTTCAATTTTTTTAATATTGTTTAGGCTTTGTTCAAATTCTTCAGTACTATTACCAACAGGGTATTTTGTATCGTCAAAGAGCTTTAGGACGTGCTACAAGTATGGCTATAACTGAAGGTAAAACATATTAGTTTTTATAGTCTCTATTTGGTAATAAAGTTGATAGTTTTGTAATGAGTATAAAGTAATAATTTAAAAATTATAAAAATAAGGAGATTTGACCATAACAGCCTGACATTATTAATAGAAAATCTTGTTAAAAACCTATTGAAAGTTAATTCTTACTCAACTTATAAAACAATCATTTAATTACTTTAGTAAGTTTATATTTTTAGAGGGTTTCAGAAAATGGATGTTACAAGGATTGGGTTTCATTGTACCATTTTTAATTGTTGGCTATGTGAGTATCTTTAAATCTTTATATATTTATGTTCCATTCAAAGTAGAAATACACAAGTATAGTAAAAGTAAATGATTTATTTTTTTGTTGATTGTTAATTTTAAATTATTATTTTTTTTTATGAAATGGATTATTAGAAGTTTAGAATGTAATTTGTATTCTAAATTATGTATTAGTTTTTTAGTTTTTAAATTCATTGTTTATAAAGATTTATATTTAATCAGTATATAAACTGACTATACAAGCAAAACGCAATTATTAGTGTTGAATAACACATTAGTGACACTTAAAGTGTAAGTTTTGCCATGGTTTTTTTTATTAGTGTCTTGCAATTCTAAAAAAAAACATTTTGCAAATAATTTAGGAGTTTGATTCCCATGTCTCTAGTAGTATCATGCTCAACTTGGTTTTTTATGCAGCAGCCATATTTGTCAAAAAATGTGTTTGAAGTAAGGGTTAAGAAAGGGTTGTAACAGCAGCTTGAAAAAAAAGTTAAATTTTCTTGACGGTTTTAGCCCACTTGGCTTTAGGAATTGAATACAGTAAAAAAACAGTTAACTGATTATAATTGGTTTTTTGGGTATTTGCTTTAAACATATACTTGTTGAAGTAAATTCTCTGCTAAATATTAAAAAATATTTTTTTGATGTAAGCAAACTATATTTATGTCTTTTTCCATTGTTTTAATTTTGTTTAGATCTTTCAATTTTACAATTCTTACACTTTGTATATGTTAAGTCGACATCCAAAATGCAAAGAATGGCAGGTAACCATAATCAAATTGTTTTGACATTATATTTAAAGTGATTTTTTATTGTGCTGTGTAATTTTCAAAAAAGCCTCACAATTTGAGTTTAAAAAAAATTATGAAGAGTAATAGTTACTTAAATAATAACATTTTTTTACGCCACTTTTAAGGATAACTTTACTTTTGTTATTTATTAAGTCAGCCCAAGTGGTGGTGAAATATTATTTTGGTATTGCGGCATGAGGTGCTTGAAAATAATGTGACAAAAATCTCCAGTGCATCTAAGAAATTACTGATTCTGATTACTGACTTCATGATTACTGTTTTTTTTCACCTTGTCATTTACGCATTTACGCAAAAATTTTCTTCTTGATATAATTGTGTTATTATGATCATGTTTTGCCAATATATGATTTAAACATTAGGCTAATAACGTGCAGACAAAAGATTTTTAGTCTGTTTTTATAAATTTTTTAAACTTGGATTCATAGTTAATTTAAGCTCCAGTAATCGATAAGAACTAATATCTTTACCAGTCTACCTTACATATTTACCAGTCTCAACTGGAGGTGAGTTATTTACACATACACATATTTTTTTTGTAGGTGCTGGCTTCTTCTATATTGTTCTTTCTACTTGCTGTCGGTAACTCGTGTACACTTTTTATTGTTATTCGGCAGAAGATCACAGCGGTTGCTAAACTTCCTTGCGGATAAAAGATTTTCAATTAATTTTGAATAAACTTAGATTTTTATTTATAAAATTTTAAATATAAAATTTATTACTCTCAACAGATAAAAAACATTACAGCTATGTGATTAATTACATGATCTTTGAATTTGTTTGTACTAATAACAACCACTTTATTGGTATAACGATCTTTTCATTTTTGGTTTTGTTAAGAAAATTTTTCCCCCTATTTATAGTGGAAAAATCATTTTCACGCTATAAATGTTATGAAAAGTTCAATATTGTACCTTTTTTATAATTTTCTTAGAGTAACTTTTTTTTTTTTTAAATGACGCAGTTTTATACGGTAACTAGTTATCTACATTCTTTTGCATAATTAAATTTTTTTGTTTTTTAATAATATTAACATTGCATTAACTCTTTAATAAGCGTTTGATTTATACAGATATTTATACAGATATTTTTAAAACCATTAAAAAGTAATTTAACAACAAACTCGTTAGAGAGTCAGAAAAAATGCATTATGTCAACAAATGTTGTCTGTCCTTTGATATCCTTCAAAGGGTGGCTCTGAGATATTTAAAAAAGTCCCTAAAGTTGTTGTGAAACTGGTAGGACTGATACATTCAGGCTTGATTACGTGTCGGGAGGACAGCATCTGTGAAATGTAGCGTATTTATATATACACTAAAATAGCTATATATATATATATATTATATATATATATATATATATATATATATATATATATATATATATATATATATATATATATATATCGTCACTGAGACTGCAAAACCTCGTAACAGCCACTTTTGACCAATTACTGTTTATGATGTAAAACGTTTCTATAAAGTGGTATACATGTACATGCAAAACCTTGTAACAGTCTGATCAATGAGATGGTATCAATTTGCCATCAAGACGGTAAATATGTTCAATCCGCAGTGAGAGCACCGTGTAATCTGGGCTCTACATGTATATCAGGTCGCTGTCAAAAAGCAACGAGTCGTTCTTGTTAGAGTTTTGATAAAATAGATAAAAAAAAAAAAAAATTAATTTTGGGGGGGAAAATGGACTGGGGAATGAGACGGACATATATCGCTACAACACGATGTAACTCAACACTTACGTACTTCTTGAAAAAAGATGATAGGAGGTTCCAGGTTTGCAAAAAAATGTTTCTGTCAACATTAGGAATGCATGAGTGGCAAGTTCGGG